AGGTGTGGTCTTACTAAGGCTTTATAGAGTGGTATTAGTACTTCCCTTGATCTTGATTGTATCCCTCTGTTAATACAATTTAGGATTGCATTAGCTTTTTTGGCTGCTGTTGCACACTGTTGGCTCCTATTGCTGGTTGTCCACTAAGACTCCAAGATCCCTCTCATAGTCACTGCTATTGAGCCTGGTTTCACCCAGTCTATGTGTACTTTTGGTTTTTCTTGCCTAAGTGTAGGATTTCACTTTTCTCTACATTGAATTTCAGAAGTGAATAAAATTTGTGGAATAAAAGCCTGAACTTTTAATTCATCGTGGAAAGGTAGTCAGACTATGAACAAAGAGCCTCTTTATAATCTAGCAATATATCATCTATTTAAATAAGTGTTACAGTAACATATGGATAATAGGAATTCATCAAAAAGTCCTCAGCAAAGTGATATAAAGTGATATACTCAAAGGTGTGTTTTCAAAAGGAAATTTCCTTATGGAAAAAAATATAGTCCAGTTGCCTTTGAGACAATCTGACCCGGATGACTGAGAATCTCCATAGACATAAAAGGTTTAGTTTGGAAGTGGAAATTGTATGGTAAGACCACCTCATTTTTACTGTAGAACAGAGCTGTCAAACTCCCGTCCCATGAGCCAGATGCGTCAAGCGTTGGCCACGCCCGGTTTAGCAAAGGGGAAAAAAGTCCCGATAGGTCACGCTGAAGCCATGTTTGACACCCCTGCTATAGAATCTTGAGACACACTTTTGGGCAGTGTTCTCAGTCATGTTTTGTTGAGTTCCAAATATAAGAGAGAAGTGGGATCCATTTTTAGAAGCCTTTTCACACACCTGTTTCTCCAGTTTTAGAAGTAAAGCCAGCCTGCTAGCACTGACTGCTCCACTTGCTTCCAGATATGATCCAAAGGAGGGTCCAATGTAAAAGCAAAGTAGAGACTAGGAGATGGCATTTCATCTCTTACAGATTGAGGAATTTACAATTAGCATATCCTTCAAATATCTGGCATCTGAAGTTGTCTGAAATGCCCCCTCCCCGCTTAGGATGTTATTTTCTTAAAAGTTACATTAAGGAAGTATTGGCATTTCTGTAATTGGACAGGAATGTTTTGTAGATTGAATTCATAGTTACCTATTTTGCAAATTCCTCTTTTATTTAATGTTTTGCTTGGCATTTTTCTAAAGCCAAAGTTGATCACTGAATAAACGACCCACTTTCTTGAAATGGATTTAAATCTACTCCGTGAAGAGACACTTTAGAAACAGAACAAATTCTCTTTCTTTCCTGATTTTTGAGTCATAAGAAGATGGCATTTTAGACCCAATTATCTATTAATATATTACATGGGATCAACATGGGGAAGTGGCCTTTTTTTTTCATTGTGCTTAGTCTGCAATGTAAAGACAATGAAGATAAATGGACATAGCTGAATTCTTTTGACAGCTACACTGAAATCTGACTTTAGATTTTGCTGCTGTTATTGTTGGATAGAGCTGTGGTAGAATGAAAACAAAATCCTGCTAATTGGCTCGGAATTGGATGTGGCATCTCACAGCAGTGCCTATCCTCAGCTTTTGATTTGCTTGACTGGAATGCTTATGCCTGAGAGAAAGAGAGGGGGGGGGGGGGAAGGAGGGAGAAAGAGAGAGGGAGGGAGAGAGAGGGGGGGAGGGAGAGGGAAAGGGATGAAGGGAAGAAAGGGAGATAGAGTAAGGGAAATAGAAAGTTCTATAAGTACTGTAAAACTAACCAGATTATCTTTTGATTAGCTGGCAAGGCACCAGAGGGAAGGGGGAAGCAGGAAGCCATCTTGATCTTGCTGCCCCACGCTGTATTCCTCTGGCCCTTTTATGACCTGACAGCACCCAAAGACCCTTTCACTAGGAGGGACTATTCTTGTCACCTCCATCACCATGTCACCTTTTATACTGTTTTGGCAAAGACTTGAACCAGAGACTGATTGCCAACAACAACAAAAAAGGAATAATATGCCAGATATAACGCTAAAAGCGTGTAACTATGTATTCCTTCTTGTAAACGCCCCCCCTCCCCCCCCCCGCCACCAATTTTGCCTGGTTTCAAGATATATGGCTCATCCTCATCTCATAAATTTGGAGGTGAGATGATGTAATTTCTGTGTTTAAAAGTGATGTTCCCATGGGACCCTTAAAAGCAGAGACGTTAATATTTGCAGAAAAACATGATTGCAAAAGGATGCATTGTTATGCAAATGCCAGCATTACAGGATGTCATTCAGTGTTTACAGTACATGATGATGTCACACACATCTCAGCATTGGCCTTTTTTTTTTTTTTTTTTGCTCCCCAGTCTCTTCTCCATCCCATGGAAAAATGTTTACTTCTTTAGCAATAACGTAGCATATATCATAGTTAATAGATTCCTTCAGAGCCAAAACCATGTTCTGTCTTTGACAGGAATAAGGATTCACCTCTGGCTCGTGGCCACACTTACACTTCTAGTGAAGTTGTTTTGCAACTGCTCTCAGTGAGATCATCATAAGCATGCTAGTTTTATTCTCCCCTGGAGATAATTTGCATTCCAAGTAGCTTTGACTCAGAATGGATGTTAACACCATTCACTGATCATATTCTCATTGAGCAGTCATTAGGGAACTCTGTATTGTATAGAAGGTGCTTCGGTGTAGATCCTGCTGAAACTTATAAAATAATAAAACCCACAAGGGTGGGTGTAGTTGGCTCTCACACAACCAGGAAGATGTCATTAGTTAGCAGTAACATCACTGTGTCTGGCTGCAGGACTGCTCAGAAAAAAAAATGGATAAAAAGCAACCAAAATGCTAAAACAATGTGACATCAGATTTTGCAGAGTAAGTCTGTTTCATTAGATACCTCCAGTATACTGTGATTCAAATATGCACATATTTAACCGAAGGCATCGATGGAAATAGAAAACACTGGGGTTGGAAGACAATAAAATGCAGAAGATGCAGACAATGATAATTTCATTCTTGTTTAGGGCATTTACATTTCCAGTCTGTCGAGTGACAAAGATACTATATATTTCATTGATCAGTTGATACATATAGAGTCTCAGTATTTATTTTAGGATGAGCATTACAGAACTTAATAGCATCATTCATAACATGAATGAACTATTACTTATCTTCCGATGTCACTTATGCCATTGTTTAAAAGTACTACTTTACTACATTCTGAATAGGATACACAGATCAGTTTCTACACAAAAGACAAATGTGCAAATAATACCCCCATAATTATAATTGCTTGAATCTTCTGCATTTAGCTTCCATTTAACTACTTGTTATAGAAATGTATATATAATCTATCTCAAGATAATATTGTAGAGATATTATAAAATATAGTCCATAAAAATTGTGTAGTTTACCTTAACAGGATGATTGGGCACATCATACCCTGAACTGTAAACTAGCCATCCATGTTGTGACTTAATATGTTGTATGAATATAGTTTGTGTGATTATTTTACATGTATTGTTCAAGGCAAAGATCTGGGCCCAGTCAATGGTCTACGACTTATACAATCTACCAGAGTTATCACTCTGGAAACTGCTAAAACATTGCTTATAAACAGTCTAAAATGTTTTATTTTTACTCTTTTTAACATTGATAGTTCCCAAGTTGTAGTAAAACATCCACAGAGGTGGAATAAGCAGAAATGACAGTTTATCCCCTTCCACAAGATCACCTTTAATAGTGCTGTTAAGAATGAGGAAGCAGGGCAAGTCAGAAAGGTAACTGGACCCCACATCCCCCAATCCTGGGAAACACATATGTTGCATTACACGCCAATCTAGACAAGACAGTAGCTGTATGGCTAACTAGTGTCAATGGGGCTGTTGCGTTCGTGGGTGCCTGCATTTAAGAAGTGGTCTATAATGGTAGGTAAGGTGAGTCATTCTATTTGAGCATGCTCACCTTGGTCATCAAAGATCTGGCTCACCCAATGATTTGACCAGAACTTTTGGGACCCTGTCACATTTAGCATACAACAAAAAAGAATGGTGACCCTCAGAAATGGACCATTGCTTGTTTCTAATTCAGCAGTGATGTTGTTAAATAATGGTAAACTCTTGAGCAGGAAAGTCTGTGCCATAACCTCCACTTTCGTTGTGGCAAAAGAAAAAAGAAAAAGGGAGCAGTTGTTGGATGGAGACATGGCTTGTAAGGAAAAAGAGAGACTGCCATCAAAAGGACTGGCATGCAGACTTCTTTTGTATAACTTGTAGGCTGTCTATGAAAGAATGATTCCTTGGTCATCATACTTCTCCAGTTCAGAAACTGAGATGTGTTGTCTGCTGGTGGAAATAAATCTTGCTCCTTCCTATACCTCCTCCACTCATCCTGGTAGGACAGGCTGATACAACTGAGTCCATGAAATCTTTCACTGATTTTGGCAAGAAGAGAGAAAGAGAACAATTGGATGCATAGTGAATTCCTCAGTGGTTCCCCCACCCTGTTAGTGAGCCTGAGTAGGATTCCCTGGCTTTTGTAGTTTCTGCCATCCATAGTGCTGAGGAAGCATTGTCAGCACACAATTTCTTCCAACGTGCCAAGTGTTGTCTGCAGTGGGACTGTCACAGTGTGGCTTGTGGGAGCAGAATGGTTTGACAAGGGCTCACACCTGCTCTGTGAAGAGAAAAAGGGAAGACGACCAAAGGAGAATAAGTGGACAAGTCCATTCTTCAAATCTTCCTTCAATTAAGAACTCACTAAACAGTTTTAGGCAGCCATTCTTCTTTTGGCCTTACCTGTCTGCCTCCAAGATAACAGTATTGGCATAGCTTGCAGAGATACAATATTGTAGGAGCTTTGCTATGCTAGGCTTTATTAAAATCACTATAAGGGGTTTTAATATCCTACTAAAATAGGCCAAAAAGATAGGCATTTCAAGGATATAAATAGAGCTGATTTCCCATTTATATTAAGCTATTCACCTCATATTTTTTCTCAAGTTGTGATAAAATTCAGATCTGATGGCTTCAACACCAGCTACTCCTCCCCGCATTCCAGCCAGTGTTTATTTGTTTACTGTCTTGATTGTTAAATTTTATGGAGAATGTAAAAGCTTGCATACTATTCTGCAACTTCTGACTTGTCCTAATAAATTGCCTAAACATGACGGTTCTCAAAATACAAGTGTGTTTCAACCTACCATTTTCAAATGGTGAATCCTGAAAGCCCCAAGGAAAAATTCAGAAAGGGTTTTGATGGCTGAGGGAATCACATTCTGTATTTGTACGGACATGACTTATTAATGACACAACATATATTTGAGCAAAAATGCATGAACGCATGCATTTAAAATGTTTAAATCTTGTTCATATTGGTATTGGAGTTACAACACTTCTTTAATTTATCTCATTAAAATCAATGGAATGTGAAAGAATTTAGTTTGGGCTAGGTTTATATACACCTATGCACATGCACATGCATGTAGAAACACACACAGACACACGCACACAAATGAAGACAAATATCTGTGAAGCTTGATATTGGAAACAATTACACTTTGAAATTTGAAATAGGATTCATTGGGGGAGGGAGAGAGTGTAAAATTTTGAAAAGCAATTTTTTTAGAATTTCAAAAACTAAAGTCACATGCCTTCTTAAACCCAATTAAAAATACTCCCAAATAAAGATTGGATTGTTTTGCAATTGTTTCCTCATAAATGAATTCTGTTAAGTTCAATAGAACTTACTCTCAGATAAGACGTACACAAGATTACAATATCCAATTAATTTCACTGTTTTTGTTGCATAAAAAGAATCACTCTTTGAAGCCGATAAGGTATGCTTAGAGGGGCGCGGTGGCCAAGCAGTTAAGACGTTGGGCTTGTTGACCGGAAGATTGGCAGTTTGAGACCAAGTACTATGTGACAGAGTGAGCTTCCATTACTGGCCCCAGCTCCTGCCAACCTAGCAGTTCAAAAGCTTGTAAATGCAAGTAGATAAATAGGTACCACTTCGGTGGGAAAGTAACAGTGTTCTGTGTACCTTCGGCACATAGTCATGCTGGCCACATGACCATAGAAGCGTCTTCGGACAATGCTGGCTCCTTGGCTGTGAATCGTCGGAGATGAGCACCACCCCTTAGAGTCAGACACGACTGGCAGGGGAAACCTTTACATTTACCTTTTAAGGTATTCTTAATTTCTTTCTTGCAATGATGACAACTGTAAGATTGCTAAACCCCTGCCTATAACAAATCAGGTTGTTAGAAGAGGAGGGAAAGGAGCAGGAATATTGCATCTGGGCTGTAAAAATCCAGACCAAAAACCAATAATGGCAGCAAATAGTTAAAATTTCTGGACATCTGATAATTATCTGGAGTTTTGCACACCAGATTTGGTAGCCTACCAAGGAGACATATGTATCTCTTTTTCTTTTACGATGCACTTAAAACAAACGAAAAGCAAAACAACTAACCAACAATAAGATGCCTTCCCAGTGAAAGTCAAATATTTTGAATAAGGCAGACTTCTAACTAATAGACTAATAACATATTTTGAAATAAATTTGTGAAGCAATAAGATAAAGTGGACATGTGGGCACACTTCCGATCTGCAGCATTTATTTTGTTGATTATGAAATCAGTCAATTGAAGCTAGTAAGAAAAGTCTCATTTTGAAATCGGAGGTGGAATTAAATGGCCATTGGCATTCAGGGACTTGATTTAAAAAGACTAATTTTAATTGTTTTTCTATTCCTCACCCATTTCCTATTAGTAATGTTTCTACCTCTTCTAATCCCCTCAACAATGCTGTCTGAATGTTCATGTTTGTCAACCTCAAAAGACAGCAACATACATGGAACATCAGGAGCTAATCAGGTTTTCACCTTTTCCCTTCAATGGGAGACTCCAAAGAATATCGTGCTATTGGTATCTAATGCACTAAGCCAGGGGTCTCCAACCTTGGCAACTTTAAGACTTGTGGACTTTAACTCCCAGTGTTCTTCAGCCAGCTTTCTGTGAGTTGAAGTCCGCAAGTCTTAAAGTTGCCAAGGTTGGAGACCCTTGCACTAAGCAATAATCCCCCTCACACTCGTATAGCCACTGTCCATGCAAAAAGGAAATAAAATAAATTGTATAATAAACAGTAAGCATTAAAATTTTCCAAAAGCTTTCTACATGCTTTGCTTCCATTCCTCTGCGACATTTAAAAAACCCCTGTGAGCTGTGAAGGTGAAATGCTGCCATGCCTGCAATTTTGCAATCAACTAAAAATGGGGGTGGGGGAGAGGGGGAATTTTAACCAATATATATAGGGAGAAACAAGCTCCAGGCACAGAACTTCTATTGGCTGGGGCGGAGTGGGGTGCGGGAGCCTAAGATCCAGGGCAACTCAAGAGTTCTGCCAATGGGAAAATGTATTCCCTACAAGTTTTGCAGAGTCTTAGTAATTCAAAGGAAATGTCCAATTTTGCAGCAATTTTCAATAAATCAGAGGAGTATCAGAAAAAAAATGAATCAGTTGCCTTAAGAGAAGGTGATATGGAATCAATCAGGATCAGAGCTAATCACAAAGTGATGCAAAATGGTAATATTGAATGGCTCTCAGGAATCCACCTTTTGGAAGGTTTCTTCGTTTAAGCAGCATTACATAGGGCAGAAATCGGATTTACTATTCAGAAATCCCTGCCAAGCCAATGCAAGTCAACTAGAGATCTAGAATTAAAGCTATCCAGAGCTAACTTATGCCCATCCCTTATTTAATTAACAGATGACCATTTGCTCCAGAGCTCACTCAGAACTTTTTTGTCAAGCCAGAAGTCAATCTGTACAATGTGAATTTAAAAAAGGACCCTCTGAGTAAATGCAAATGACTTTGCCTTCTGCATAAGAATAACTACAAGAAGCTGCTGCATCTGAGGTTGGAGAGTAAACTACTGAAGCAGAAAGCATAAACTCGAGGCCCAGTGCCACTCTGTGCAGAAATTAAGGTCATCTCCCCTGCCAGATTGAAAATAGACTCTGCCAAGGAATATGTCAATGTGCTATATGTTGGCTTCTGCTTTGGTGAGTCCTGGCAGGGATGTGGGCCTACTTACCACATTCTCATCATGGCTCCCGTCTTCTTCCTCTGGGCCAAGAAGATCAAACAGTTTCTCTTTGATCAGCTAAAAGAAACAGGAGAAAAGATAAGATTCTCAGTTGCAGCAAAAATCTGATACATCCCAATCCTCTGGCAGCAGAAAGAGAGGTCCTCTTCTTTACATAGCACTGTGCTGGATTAATTATTTATTCTTAATCCACCTAGTAAATTCAGGGCACCGAAGCCTGTTTGCATAAGAAGTCTGACCCAGTACTCTTTTTTGAATTTAAAAATTTATTTAGCTTTGTTCACCTACTTCTAAGGCAGCTCTTGCTTTCTTAAAGTCTAGAAATACATTTTGTTTAAAAAAAGTTAAAAGGAACAATGCTAAGATTTAATTTTAATGTTGTAAAATTCTTCTTTCCATACTGCAACTCTCACGAGGGCAATTTTCAGCAAACGATTATTATCTTAGTTTAGGATTACTTTCCAGAGATAATTATATTGCTCTAACCAGGAAAAACAAGGGAGGGGGGAAAACATGTTTCAAAGCCCTGCATTTGAATTATCTCAGAGAAAGACAGATGTTGCAGGGCAAACCTGTATGCAAAATAGATTCTCTTGCCAAATTCAACCAAGTGAATCATGCTATGATTTTCTAATGTGTTACCAGAAACTGCTTTGTTTAACAGGCCCTAAATTGTATGCACTGGGGAGGTCCTATCCTGTACTATGCTTGAGCATCCAACTAACTGCAGTCCAGGAACAAGACCTGAAAACGGATAGACTAGTATTGATTCATTTTTGCCTTTGCTTGCAGGGATGCCAGTCAAAAGGCAAGCTTAAATTCTACTTTTGGGGGGGCTGGTTGTATGTCGTAAAGTTAGGGTGCTTTGGCTACTGATACATCTTACCCCAACCCTAAACTGTATCTTTTTGAGAATTCCCCAGTCTGGAGAGAGCCAGCCGTAGATGTGGCAACCAAGATTCCAAATCACTTTTTCCTTCCAAGGTTTATTTGTTATTCACTTCTTTTTTTAAGTTAAATGTATATCACACTTTCTCCAGGATCCTAAGCAATGTGTAGCACAGTCTTCCACAAGAATAACACACAGTGAGGCTTGAAAGGGAGCTACTTCTGAATGTAAGAATCCCTGCTTTTCATAGAGTAGATTCCAGGCTCAAGTCCCAGCATCTCCATGCAAAACACTCTTTTGTTCCGGACAATAATGAGCAAACTACACCGATCAAGCTTGCAGAAAGGAATCCTTTGTGAAAGCCGGTGTGATGTTGGCATTAAGGTGCTGCATGCGGATAAGGAAAACCCAGATTCGATCACTCTGGGCCAGTTTCTATCTCTTTCCCTTTCTCTCTGCATAACCTGATACCTCTGACAGGGAAAACATGCGGATCGTGCTATTTGCTCTTGTTGGCAGTGGGCATCCAGAAGAAGAAGGAAAAGCACCCTCAAACCAGCAGTGTTAGCTTAGAAAACAGGTAGCAGTTGCTTTCTGTTCGTGCTGCAACCCCTCTCCCCTTAATCAGCAAATGTGAGCAAATGTTAACAGCTACCAGCCTATCAAGGCACATGTTTCCTTATAATAACTCTGCAAAGCAGGAGTGGATAATCCACGGGCTGCTTAGAGCCCCTGGATACCTTTTCCTGTCTCTCTCTCTCTGGACAGATGCGATTTTCTGATGCCAACTGATGAAAAGCAAAGATAAAAACTGCTTAATCCTTCAGATAGGTTTAACATACCCAAAGTTTTCATAACAGCCCCAACCCAAACCAGATAAGATATTAGGCTGTGGTCCTGTGTGTGTGTATGCGTGAGCGTGTGTATGTGTATATGTATGTATGTGTATACACACACACACACACACACACACATATATACATACATACACACATATCGTGTTTCCCCCAAAATAAGACCCTGTCTTATATATTTTTTTTTGCCACCCAAAAGGCACCAGGTCTTATTTTCAGGGGATGTCATCCACTGACTAACCTCACTTTTGCGTGTCACCCTGACCTCCTTTTCACTGTCAGAGGCCTTCAGGAACTTCTTCTTTGACCAGCAAGGTTTTCCTGAAGGCCTTTGCAGCCAATAACAGAGCACTGGATCAATCCAGAGCATTTTTATCAGCTACAGAGGCCTTCAGGAAAGCCTTGCCAGCCTTGCTGGCTGCAGAAGAAATGGGCCAACAAGGCAGGTGTCGGGATGGTGCAAGGCCTGGCTACAACTGTCCAAAGGTAAGTAGTAGGGCAGCCCCACTCTCCCATCCCAACCCTAGCTTAATTTTTATCTGTACACTCTGGAGTGGGTGCATTCTTAATTAGGGCTTATTTTGGGGGCGGGTAGAGCTTATATTGGGCACATGTGTAAAAATCAAGCTAGGACTTACTTTCAGGGTAGGCTGTATTTTGGGGAAACACAGAAATATATCTCTGTGTGTGTGTGTGTGTTGAGTACCCAATTCAATGAGTTTCAAAGCGGTTGAGTACCACACACACACACACACACAAATCCATGTAAACATAAAATGTGTATTTAATGTCTTACTCAGGTGCTTTTTTAGTTAAATTAAAATGCATACTAGTCTGTGTGCGTGCAGAAAGATATAGTGGAAATAGTTTTAGGATAGCATCAGGATGTGTACTACTGTTCTAGAGTCAAATTTATATTATAAACCTTGGTATTTTTGAACCTTGTAGAAGAAATGTAAAATTTGGTGATTAGATTTTGTGTTTCAAGATTTCAAAATGTATGTTCAGAAAACAAAGATAGCAGAGCTTATTATACTATTGGATCAAAGTAGGCCCATGGATGAAATCTGTTCTTTCAACCCCTCAACGTGAAAATACATGGCCTTATTTACTACTTCAAGGAAAAGGCTGCAACTTACCTCATAAATATAGTCAAATACTTCCAAAATAGTGAGGATACTAGCACCAATAAAAAGACCCATCTGACCCCCAATATCACCTGGGGAAGAAAGTGAAAAAAAACCAGAAATAGATGTTTTAATCTTGCATTTTAATGCACATCAAAGTAAATTGCTTGGACTGGAAATAAGGCCCCTCAGCTAAGTAAACGAAAATCTATTTTGAGCATTTCTATGCTATCTGTAAAGAAAAAAGAATGCCTCCTCTTCCTCCTGCATGGAATTCCAGATCACATATCCCTTATTAGAAGGATAGAGCAGGGGTCGCCAACCTTTTGGACCTCAGGGACCACCAAACTCATAATTTTAAATCCCGCAGACCACTAATATGAATTTTGACTGACGGTGGCTTGCTGATGTTGTGGGAGAGAGAGAGAGATCCGATTTAACCTTGGAGGGCTGGCGGTGATGTTCTCTCTCTTTCTCCCTCCACCCCCCTCTCTCACACACACACATACAGGTCTCTCACACTCCCACCCCCTCCAAGACAGCCACATTCCTAACCTGCTTTTCAGCTCCATTCTCAGGGGGAGAGAGAAAGAGACAGACAGACAGACAGTATTCTGCTATCCCAAATAAAGAACGATCGATCGGTAGGAAAACAGGGTGGGGGATTTTCCTGCAGACTATTTTTGGGGTTTTTCCAGGGTCTTTGGATCACCGGATACCGTTTCCAGATCCATTCTCAGGGGCGGGGGGGGGGGGGGGG